GACCAGCAGCTTTTACAGCTGTGGCTCCAGCAAACATCAGCTGATACTAGAAATTAATATTAAATAAATTCTAATAACAGCTGATCAAGCTTAAAGGTGCTGCTGTTGTTTAGCGCGACCTCCTTTCTGGCGCAGAGAGAAAAGCCGATCAGCTGATCATTGATCAGTTTCATGATTGAATTAGCAACTTTGTAGCTGAAGTCGTACGCGACAAATCGCGTTCCTTTTCACCTCAACTTTAAAGTTCGACTCTAGGCTGTAATTGGTCCAGCCCAGAGTCGATCATGACCATCTGGCCAATCCACCACTATTCATTTATACCATTAAAAAAAAGAAAAGAAATAAAACCCCATCGGCCCATAAAAACAAAAAATCATGAGCGGCCCACCGGGCAAATGCCCGGTATGCCCGATGGCCAGTCCAGCCCTGCTTATCACACTGGGAGCAGTCTAAAGCAGCATCTCTCAGTTCAGGTTGGACACTTTGTGGTGCTTACACTTGTATGTGAAGCTCTGTGAAATATTCCCCATTGTGTCACTATACCTCATTCATGTTTTATTTTAAATAGAGACACTTCAGTTTATTGAAGGTAAAGTACTCAAGCTCCACTCCTGTGCGTGTCTTTCTCTCTTAAACCCCCAAGAAAACTCAGATTCTGGTCCAACTTAATATTTCATTATTCTCCAAACCTGTGGTGGAGAACATAAAAATGTGTATGTTCTTTATCACTTTGTGCTTTGTCTGTTTTCTGATTTGAACGTAGCAAAGACTCGAGTTTGAGTCTCAAGGACCTTTCGATTCATTTTATGAATGCTTTCTATGGTATACATGGTCCTCACTTCGGATGATTTATAGTGTACTAACGCTTAATCGTGTGTAGTTATTGTAAAGTGTTACTGCTTAATGTATGTGTTGCAAAGCTTTAACCCCTGAGTTGCCTGCTCTACACCCACTTCACACACAACTTTATTCCTGCCCACTATAGTAACACCTTTGTTGAGTGTGTGGATGATACCTTGGTGGTGGCGCCAGTGTCCGGCAGCCTCGCCTCTGTCAGTGCGCCCCAGGGCAGCTGT